CACACAACTTTTGTTTTTATATGTGAACCCATCTCGCTACACCCATGGATATCTACTTACTTGCATGGAGGATATTTGGATAGATAATATTGTCTCTGTACTTCTGTAGACCGGTTATCTGAGTTTATCCTCCATCTCTACAATTTCTTAGATATATGATCTTGAAAAAACACTCATTTTTCATTTCAACTTGACTAGAGATAAAAGTGCTTAAACACATTGAGCTGTTGTGAAGATTGATTCAGTATTTGGAAAAATACTCTGTGTCCGGCACCTAGTATCACTTTTTATGATGCCTCCTTTATATGCTGTGTCGACACAAAGAAAGTCAGCATAAGATACGCCCTCTGTTATTGATTCACCAAGATTTTGCTTTTGCATTGAGATCTTTAACACACCACATCTTTAAATTGTGGTAATAAAATGAAGAACCTAAGGAAACAAACAAAAGAAAACAGCAAAACATAATTTTCTCTGGAATGGTATATGCCTATGGATAGGGCTATTCTTATTGTGGCTGCTGTGCATCTGGATGTGTTGTGCTGCTTCCTAGGCAACACCATTAAAAGCTAAGCAATGTGCTGAAGTTAAAGTTTTATTTAACAACCAGGAGGTAAAGGTGACACAGAAATCCAGACAACTTTGCTGTGGTAAATAGTCAATTTCATTGTTCAAAATGATGTTTACATGACTTTGGGCACTTAGACCTATGGAAACATCAATGTATTTAAAAATAATAAATTCTTTATTCCACTTTGTGGGCAAATCATCTTCATCTAAACTTTCTGTTCAATTGTCTGTAGCCTGTTGATATAGGAATAATGGACATCATCACCATCAGCAGCAGTGGTACTATCTGACAACTTAGAAAACAGGTTCAGCCTACCGCTCTGAGACTCACAAGAAAGAGTAAATCTCCAAGTTCCTAAATTATTACTTTACTTGATAAAATATCAAATCCTATCATGTACAAACCCTAAACTTTGTTGGATAGAAAAAGGAGTGAAGTATCTCTTCTTGGGAGGAAAATTAAGGTTAGTACATCATTATCCCACAGATCTGTTAATGGAGCATTAATGTAACAGCAGATGTGAGGGATCCACTGGAAAGGTCTTCACAGAGACACCCATGTTTATTCTACTTCTTCAAGTGCAAAAGACCTAGAGGTACAAAAAAAAGTGGCACCTGGAAGAACTTGGATGTGACAGGAAGGATAAGTCAAGGGATGAAGCATAGGTGTGAAGGGAACTGATAGTGGAAGGGGGTGGTCAAGCAAGTAAAGGATGGGTTGCATAATACCATCAATATCCCTAAGAAGACCTGTGGGTAATGAGCTGCTACTTTTGAGGAAAAATGCAATGGAAGAAATCCTTAGAAACCTTCCATGAGTTTATGTCTGGAACTCAGTTGCCAAATGAGAGATATCTATTTTAAAAAACAGCAGTCTCTTAGTGTTAAAATTTCAGCCCCATTTGTCTTGTGCTACCTTGATGGTCCAATAGAGCCCAAATATGAAAATCTGGACATGCTAATAGAGGAGCAAGGTGAGAAGACAGGCATAGCCCCTAGGTTAGCTATAGGAAAGGATAGTCAAATATGAATGCAGTGCATATGATGGACTGATTTACTCAGCTATGGTGGGATCTGAATACATCAGAAACTTTGGCAAGAGAAGACAGCCTTGATACAGATGAAGGTACAGATGAAAAGAGACAACATCTGGCAGAAATCAGGGGGCAAAGTTGCTTTAGCTGGAAGAAAATCCTTGACAATGACAGGCTAACCTGAAAAGTAACAGGATTCTGGTTTCAACAAGCTGAAAGCCAGGAGGGAAGGAGATAAAAGGCCACTGAGAAGTGGGAAGCGCCTCTGGGTACAATGGCCCTGCTTTGCAGGCTTGATTTAAGTCAGCAGACACTGTAATCCACAGTGGGCTGCAAAGCAGGATTAGCTCCTAACAATCTTGTGAAGTAGACAGGGGGTCTCTTAGGCTGCTTCCCCTTCTCCATTCCATTTTATAACATCAGGATTGACCCTGGACAAGCCAGAGTTTCAACCAAATTTCATGCAGTGCTACAACTGGAAAAGAAATGTCGTTTATTTTAAATTATCCAAGTGAAGCAAATTATTCCAGATTATATACAATAGAACTGAAACCCATTCCAATAATACTAATGGAGGGCTTATCTTATTCCAGCACTGCTGGGTTTACTGAGAACCGAGGGATGAAGACAAGTTCCTTCACAGACTTTCTGTCTTTGTTCAGTCTTCTGCAGCATCTGAATTCCCTTACATTGGCTCTTGGTAGTTTCCAGTCTGATTTTTTACTTTTTCTCCTATTCTGTTGCACCTACCCTTCAGGACCCACCCACCACCACCCACACATCCCCTCCAAACTTTCTCAGGGAAGTATCCTATACACGGAGTCACGGTTTTCCAAACCGGGTTTTATGAGCACTTGTAGCTAAAAACAATTTTTGCCATGGTCCAGGCATGAATCGTTCCAAAGGAAAACCTCCCTGATCTTCAACTCCTTCATGAGCTCTTCTTAAAATTGTTCTGGCAGAGAAAGTGTCCTTTTCCTTTGCCACTTCCCTTTTTAAAATCATTTCTCACCCTTTACACAGAAAGGCTTCTCTGAGTCTTAAGTGTAGGGAGGTGCCCCAGCACGCAGGCTGCCACCAGTGCCAATACCCGTGCTGGAATGGCAGCGTGCAGATAATAGAGTAGTGTATCCTTCTGAAGGCCTGGTTTCCAAAGTGCTTCTTTCAACACCATTGAAATAGCTGAGCAAGTTTTCAGCTACTTGATCAATAAAAATAATTTTGATGATAGACTCCTGAGCCATTTCTGCAAATAAGTAATAAAATATCAAATGATTTAGTGTTATTACTATAGCAAAGCAATTTTCATTCCTGGAGCTAAGGTCCATCAATATCACCTACTTATAGGAATTAGTTTTCTCAGCATTTATATCTCCAAAATGAAAACTAAGAATGGCATTCATCCTGAAATCTTTCTCATTTGTGGCAATAAGTAGTCACAGGTGCACATACGAATTGACAGAAAAGTGCAGTTACATTATTAGAAACAGCTTTCCAATACATTTTTAATATTGCGTGTAATGTGTTTTCTCAAAATTTGTCATATATTTATACTGTTTTGGCTAACTGTATGCTAATTACATAATGTCTAGAGGAAAATCTTTTCCAAAATACAGAATCTTGAGAATATAGGAAATAAAAACACATAGATGGATATAGGAAAATCCATAAAAGCCTTGCAAATACAAAAATATATTATAACACTATGACTTTAGTGAGATAAATGATGTAAAAATTGTCATCTTTAAAGACACACTCATTTATATAACTTTTTAAAATTTGTATTAAGTTGTATTGAAAATATGAAGAAGTGATATAATAGCATGATCAAAAGGTCAGTACTTTCCATGCAGTGAAACTAGAGTCTTTTAGATGTCTGATTAAAAAATAGTTACTGAACTGGTATGTAATTTTTTTAAAGTTTCTTAGACAGAATATTCATGAAATACTTAAGTACCACCATAAATGGAAATGCTTAATGATATCAAAAAATGACCTACCTCTGGTCAGACCTGAAATTTACCAGAAAACCTGTGGGCCTGTTGCCTCTCTGATAATAGACCTAAAGGGCACAATAGCGGTTAGAAGGGTGAAGATTGCCTGTTCTATTTTGCAGGCTAGTCAGTTTTCTGTAGTCTGAAATCAGTATCACTTAGGTAAATTGGGGGTTTTGGCAGGGTACTGCTTCCTGGAAGCTCACAGAGAGAATTCTTTCCTTCCTTTTTCAACTCCTCACAAAGGTGTGCATTCCCTAATTGTGGGCTAATTATTGACATCTTCATATCTCTCTGTGCTCCATCTTCTCTATGTAATTATTTTAAATCTCTCTCTCTCTCTGTCTCTTTTAAGCACCTTACTGATTACATTTAAGGACCACCTAGATAACCTAGGATATTCTCCCCACCTCAATTTTTTTAATCATACCTGTGAAGTCTTTGTAAAGTCTTTGTAACATTTATAGGTTCCAAGAAAAATACAATACAATGCATTCCTTTCTGGGAAAACTTTTCTGTTTTGTTGTGTTTTGAGACTGACTCACTATGTTATAAAATCTGGCTCCAAATTCCTGGAATCAAGGGATCCTCTTTCCTCAGTATTCCAGTTAGCTGGGTCTAAGGGCACAGTATGGAAGCATATTTTTTAACCTATCACACCAACTCTGGAAACAGTCTAATTTTGGTAAGAGCAATATACCTTTAAATGCTTGGAAAAATCACTATCTTCTGGAATGCAGCTTTCTTGTCAGGTCTATACTATGGTGTTTAACTGTGAATAGATTCCTTGCAAATCAGTCTTCCTCTTGCTATCCTTCTCTATACCCTATCTCAAGTAATCTCTCTGAGGTACCACCTCCTTAGTTCATTTTCCTTGAAAAGCATGTTCTCAGACTCCAGCTTACTGTCACTTTATTTCTTTTCTTTCTTTCTTCTTTCTTTCTTTCTTTCTTTCTTTCTTTCTTTCTTTCTTTCTTTCTTTCTTTCTTTCTTTCTTTCTTTCACTCAACAAATGTTTAGTGAAGGTCCTGTGGGGCTTAAGAGTGTGCCACTATTCCCATGAAAAGTGAAGGAAGAGCCTAGCATGGATTAAAAAAAAAAAAAAGAAATGATCAGAACACAGTGCTAGTCCTGAGATCACTCAGTAAACATTCACCAAATACCTGCAGTGGTTAAGGTTTTCAGTTATTGAATACAATCCTCAGGTTTAAGAATACTTCCTTTGAAATGGGAGATAAAACAGCAACATGAAGGGAAAATGATATAATAATAATTGATAATATCCTGTACCACTTGCTGTCTTCAGAATTTATAATCTACGAAAGGATGTCAGTAGTTTTGTACAGCATTCAACCTTTTTTTCTTCCTCTCAGTCTTTCAGGCACAGATGTGGGCAGAGACCATGGAGAATTCAAGTGGCGCCCATGTTGAGGAGTTTGTCTTGGTGGGTTTCCCTACCTCTCTGCCTCTCCAGCTGCTCCTCTTTGTCTTGTTTTTAGTAATCTATCTGCTGACATTGTTGGAGAATGCACTCATCATTTCTACGATCTGGCTCACTCCAAGCCTTCATCGCCCCATGTACTTCTTCCTTGCCCATCTCTCTTTCCTGGAACTATGGTACATCAACGTTACTGTCCCCAGCCTGTTGGGAGCCTTTCTCACGCAGGATGGCAGAGTCTCCTATGTAGGCTGCATGACCCAGCTCTACTTCTTCATTGCTTTAGCCTGCACGGAATGTGTCCTATTGGCAGTTATGGCTTACCACCGCTACCTGGCCATCTGTGAACCACTCCGTTACCCTAGTCTCATGCCTCCTAGCTTGGCCACTCGCCTTGCAGCTGCCTCTTGGGGTAGTGGCTTCTTCAGTTCAATGATGAAGCTTCTTTTCATTTCCAGACTGTCCTACTGTGGCCCCAACATCATAAACCACTTTTTCTGTGATATCTCCCCCCTCCTCAACCTCACCTGCTCTGACAAGGAGCAAGCAGAGCTAGTGGACTTCCTCCTGGCTCTGGTCATGATACTGCTCCCTCTAGTGGCTGTGGTGTCTTCGTATGCTGCCATCATTGTAGCCATTTTGAAGATCCCCACGGCCCGGGGGCGCCACAAAGCCTTCTCTACTTGTACCTCTCACCTGGCAGTGGTTGTTATCTACTACTCCTCCACTCTTTTCACCTATGCTCGGCCCCGGGCCATGTACACCTTCAACCACAACAAAATCATTTCTGTGCTTTACACTGTCATTGTGCCATTCCTCAACCCAGCCATCTACTGCCTGAGGAACAGGGAAGTGAAGGATGCTTTCAGGAAGACAATGCTAGGCAGGTGCCACTATCCTAGGGATGCCCCAGACTGATGTACATGAGATCCTGGCAGAGAAAGAAACAATGAGTCAACTGGCACTCAATCATAGGATGGTCTTAAGAAAACATAGATATCAATTAATCCACCGGTTCTCTAAATCTGGTCTAGGAATTTCCTGATATAAATGAAAGTTTATCAAACATTGATTTGACCCGGAGTTTCCAAACTAAGATTGGACTATGTAAGAATCACATTTGGTTTGTTAATATGAAGAGTACCACAAAATAATTATAAACTTGATCAAGTAGGCCTGAGCTGTACCTCTGCCATGAATAATTTTTGGAACTTCTTAGAATGTCTTGTTTCACAGTTTAAGAATATCTAGTTCACACTAAGTTCATATTTTTTAGAAATGAGAAAAATCTGAGAAAAGAAAAGGGACTTACTGGTAGACATGTCAAAACAAACTGATACAAGCTGTAATGAAATGATTTGAAATATTCACATTCTCAAATTCCACATGTGAGAAATTTCAAAAACATATATTATACCCCAAATGAAGATTATACCCCAAGAATAAATTCATGTCCTCTAATAAACACCCTTTATTTCTATGGACTTCATAACCACTAAAAGTCAAAATAAGAGAAGTGAAATGTTGATATATAGTCATATTTACTGTATATGGCTAAGTTCCTCTTCACCTTTCTTCTTTGTATCCTAAATGGATATGAAGTTGGTTGACTTAATGGGTGTTATTAACTATTGGTAAAATGTGTTAGAAAACTTTTATATAGTTTTTTTTCCAGCACTGTAGCCAGCTTTGTTTCAACTAGTTGGTTCCTAGATCACATGTATTGTCAAATATTATAAATTTTCCCGTGGGCAAAGCACCAGATGAATGAAAGTGCCTTAATAAGAGAAAAGATTTGAGAACCAGAGAAAGGACAATGATATCTCTGCAGTGAATAGGATGATTTAGGCTTGTAACCTAAATTGCAAATACTCTATCAAATTTCCTTGAGTTTTATAAAGTTGCTTGAATTGCTTAAAGATATATTTACATCTAGATTCTAGGTTCATTTACTCAAATTTCTGCACATTAGACACCAAATCCAGTGGTTACTTAGATGTGTGATATTTAAAATAATAAAATAAATAAATATGTAACTGAATAAATTTCAGTAACTACAGGTTGTTGGTCAGTGTGCATCTGTGTATTCTTTTTTTTTGTTTTGTTTTTTCTCCGGTACCGGAAACTGAACTCATGACCTTGCACAAGCCAGGCAGGTGCTTTTGCCACTGAGCTAAATTCCCAGCCCCGCATCTGTGTATTCTGAGCCAAGCTGCAGGTGGGGCAAATGGTTGTTGATCAATGAAAACTACTTGATTAATAATTATTTTATGTTTTCCAGTGTCTAAAATAAAGTAAGCAAGAATAATTTGACATAGAATATATAAATTCTTATTTTGATAAAATTTCTAGATATTTATTCTATTTTACTCTACCAGTGTTGCCTTTTAAGTCAAATGCATTTAGCCAGTGGTTTCCTAGTGGGTGCCATGAAAAAAAAAATATGTTTTTTATTGTCTCTTCAACAGTGACCTAATTTTTCTTTTGTGGGGCAAATCTAATGTATTTAATTCTAAAAACATTTCTAATCCCAGCAGTGACTGCTTAACTGCAATACAGGTCGTTAATCAGTTTGTCTTAGAACTTGGAGTGGCTACATGTTTCATTTTTTCCAATAAAATATAAATAGAATTCTCTTGAAGCAGCTTTCTTTTTAAGAGAAATATATATATATAATAAATATATCTGTAATAAATAAACATATAATAATATATGTAATAAATATATTGTATGCACTTGTGCTAGCACAACTCTTCCTTTTCTTGAGGTTGGATTTGATGTCTGGACCCCAGCAACCATTATAAAATAATAAACATGGGGAGGAAAGGCCAACATACTGAGGCTCTAGATGCAGAAATATATGAAAATCTTGGCTGCAAAGCTGAACCAGCATAGCAGTTACCCATCCATCCATCCGTCCATCCATCCATCCATCCATCCATCCATCCATCCGTCCATCCATTTTTTTGTTAAATTATTTGCTAAATTAAATTATTTATTAAATAAAAAATAAAGTAACAGTTTTGAAAATGCTGAAAATTATGGTCTAACCAAATATACTTGATGTTTAGCCTTTTGTAGTTAACAATATAATTATATTTATTCTAACCATTGTACCTGTCCCCTTAAATGTGTATCAAACTAAAATTGGAGAATTGATATACTCATATTAGGCTTAACTTTTATATTGCATTGATTTAATTTTTTGTATCTTTTAGTATTTTTCAAATGATTTTTAGTTTTAAGTTTTTTTAAAAAAAAATACTAAAAGAAAGTCTTTTTGTAAGTTTTCAGAGCAAAATCATGACCCTTCCTAATCTCACGTTTCATCATTCTGTTAGATGGGATGTTCAGGCTCTTTAAGGCTGTAATTCACAATATTAGCCAGAAGGGGGCAGGATATTGATTTGCAGACTGCTTGTGGTTCCAGTAGCTACTATTCCTTTTTTTTACTTTATTTTTTTATGTTATTTTCTTTTGTTTCATTTATGTTTTCAATATGTATTCAGTACAGTCTGCTTCTGATCAAATAAAGATAACAGGGAACCAAAAATATAGCCATGCAATCAAGTTAATTAGGACTTTGAAAATGAAGTTGATCTATTTTAAAAGAGTACCACTATTTATCACAGTTGAGCAGAAATGCACTGGCCTTGACAAAGAAAAGCATAAATTATGAGGTTTGTATTCACAAGACACTTTGCAGAAAGTTCAGACATGCTGATCTGACTCAAAAGTTTTATGTCTTAAGAAAGAAAATAAGATATAGATGTTTCATGTAGAATCACAAAATACACAAAAGAAAAATATGGATGATCCCAGCAAACTGTAACTTATTTTCTTAAAATTATTCAGTTTGACTTATAAAAGGTAAGCATAGATTCATATAAAATATTTCCTAGAACCATGCATTTTACAGTATAGTTTAGCTATTTTTTTTTCATTGTATTAACCACTTTCCCTCCACTGGAACAAAACACCCAACACCCAAAACTTGTAGGAGAGGTTTGTTTTGGCTTATGGGTTCAGTCCATAGTCAGCTGGCTGGGGTTGGACTTGCCAGGACCAAGAATACACCCTTCCATGTCAGACCTTTAATGACTTACCTCTTCTGACCAGGCCCTGCCTACTTATAGCACATTCAGCCATGAACCCACCAGTGGATTAACGTAGCGATGAGCACAGCAATGCCATTATTCAATCACCATCAAGACACATGAGGCTTTTGTGGGACATTTGAGGTCTAAATCAAAACAACCCTTAGTTAACTGGTGTTTTCTTTCATTATAGAGAGCAATAAAGAACAAACAGAATTTTTTTCACTTTAAGATGTCACAGTTCTATCTACATTTTTTAACAAGGAATTATAAATAGTTATACCAAAAAGAGACCATGTTCTGTTGGTATTGGTTCCTGATTTATAAAGTAGCTAAGAAGAATTTTTTGTTAAGTCTGTAACAGCAATTGTAGTTTCATCCATAAATCTCCCCCATGACACTATTTAAGCAGCTAGGTTCTTCTGCTAATCCTTGTCTTCCTTTGCAGGGAATTTATGGATTTATGGGGTTGTGCAAATAAAATGAGAATCAGTGGTGAAACCACTGCGGAAATCAGTTTGGAGATTCCTCAGAAAACTATATCTAGAGGTCCCATTCAATCCTGCTATTCCCCTTCTGAGTATTTTCCCAGAAGATCTAAAAACATCATATCACAGTGACATATATGCACCTATGTTCATAGCAGCACAATTTGTAATTGCTAAATTGTGGAAGTAACTCAAATGTCTATCCACCGAGGATTGGATAAGAAAATTGTGGTACTTTTATATATTGGAATATTACTCAGCTATAAAGAGAAACTGGAGGCTTTTATAGGTAGATGGTCACAACTAGAGATCATACTCATAAGTGAAATAAATCAGACTGCGTATGCAAGCACCACATTGTCTCACTTGTGTAAAACCTGAAAGAGTTAATTTTAAACTCAGAGGTATGATAGACATTGTGAAATGATAGGAAAATGCTCAAGGGCAAAGGGCAACTGAGATGTGGGAAAAGAAGAGGGAAAGAAGAAGAAATTTTGTATGTATGTATATACAGGATAGTTAACATAGTTAATCTGTCTTCTCTTTCTTTGCTGAAAGAAACTGTCAATGAGTCCTTTATTGATCAATATTGCATGTCTCTGCTTTCATGAGAAACCACTTTGAAGATATCAATATGTAATACAACAAGCACTGTTAATTTCCTACCACTTTGTTTGTAACTCTGTATTGTTTGTACTGTTCTTTTGCTATTTTGTAAAAGGTTGTCTGTCTGTTAATGTTTTCCTCCTTTTACTTTTAAATTAAAGAAAAATAAATGAAAAGAAATGTCTGTACTTAAAAAAAAAGAAGAACCAATAAAGAGCTAGGAGACTACTTAGAAAGGAAGGAAATGTTATTCCAATTTTTCTATGGAGGAAGTTTCCTTTTGATATTTGTATCAGAGTGGAAAATAAGGAGAAATAATTGATGCTTACTCCCAGGAATATGAACTAGGTTCTATGTAACTGGCTTTTCTTAAAGAATTCTATTATTTCCATAAAGAGCTTCATTTTATATTTGAAGAGGTTATTCTCTCTTGCCTATGCCCTGTCTTTCCCAGTTCTAGAAAAGTGTACGCTGCTCCCCTGGCCAACATCCGTCATAGTAGTGTATGTCAAATTTCCGTAGTTCCTGTTCACCTTCTGCTGTAGTCTTGGGTGGCTCTGTGGCTTCATGACTATACCTGACTGTACAGGTATTCTCACCCATGAAAGAACACACATGTAGCAAAGGACATAGTAACCCACTTTGCTGACAGTATATTTTCCGTAATCTTATTACTTTGCTCCTTTCCTGAATATCTTTGTGTGCTTCCGGAAGTGTGCTATTTGTA